AACCAGGACCTCTGTGTCATTTGCCATGCGGAGATGCACCCGGGCCAGGCAGGCTGGTTTCGTTTGCCTTTGGTTAATGAACCATTGATAGTGGTGCCTGTCCTGTTTGTACATTCCACTAATCCTCAGAACAGTTCCTCTCACATGACGTGTCTTTTTCTGTTGCTTCCCTGGAATGCAGGCATTGGAAGCGCTATCGTGTGGCCACCTCTTTCACAGCGAATGTATCAATCGATACTGTGAGTCGACCGGGCGGAACAAGGCCACCGCTTGCCCTCTCAAGTGTGCGAGCTCAGCCTCTATGGCAAGGTTCTTTTTGGGTCCGAGTGGGTCCACGGGAAGCAATGCCCCTGTTCCTGTCGAAGATGATGCTAATGATGTGGACGCAATCGTTCAGGAAATACAAGCTCAACTCGTTGACGACCGCACTCGTGAAGAGGAGGCTCCTGAGGTCAACGACCCCGTGGTGGACTGATTGCGTCGACAAGGTGGCTCGGTAACAAGGCAGAGTGCCACAATAACTGGCTCATGTGTATGTGTTGTCGGTGATGTGGCCTCGAGTCTTATTAAGTTTGGAGGTGTGGCAATGCCATTGTCACAGACATGTTTCTGAAGGCGGAGTGCCATGGGTTGTAACATGTGTTCCATGATCATTATGTATTGACATGATTGTGTTGCCTTGTGTTGCATTATGCCATCAGGAATGTATGTCTCTTTGTAATCCCAGGCGGTCTGTCGATTTCAAAAGGATACTGCAGATGCCTGTGGACAAATCCGCGCCAAAGGCAGGATCCAACCTGTCCTAGAACACCAGTTGGGAGGGACCCAACAAAGGACCACGGAAGTCTGCAATGGGGTGCATCCGTGTTTAAAAAAACATATGGCCTTTGAAGGGACACCATCCCAATACCGCCCCACAGGCCCTGCAAAATCTTAGAAGACATTTGTGACACTTGTGGCATGCCCCGGAAAAATCTTATTGAATCTTATTGAATCTTATTGAATCTTATTGAATCTTATTGAATCTTATTGAATCTTATTGAATCTTATTGGTCCATCATTTTTAAAAGGGACACGACTCCATATCGCCCCAAAAAATCTTATTGAATCTTATTGAATCTTAGAAGACATTTGTACAATTGTGGCCTACCCCGAAAAAATCTTATTGAATCTTATTGAATCTTATTGAATCTTATTGAATCTTATTGAATCTTATTGAATCTTATTGAATCTTATCGGTTTTACAAGGGACACAGCCTCCAGCTCGCCAAAAAAATCTTATTGAATCTTAGAAGACATTTGCAGGATTGTGGACTACCCGAAAAAATCTTATTGAATCTTAGTGTTCGGGCCATCACGTTTTGAAGGCACACCGACCCTGTACCATACAATTGCACACATGTAGCATCCCCTCCCAAAAGTCTTGTTGGAGCTTATTGAATCTTGGGAGCTAGTTATACAATATCGAATCCCATTGAATCGGCACAGTCCAGCTAACCCAACCAAATCCCTACGAGTAGTAACACATCTTATGATTAAGCATAAACTAGGTGGCACTCTGCCTTGAAGTACCTTTAAACCATGGACCTCCTTAAAACCTAAAACCCTGAAGCTCTTTTAAACCCTAAACCGTTACTGTGTGTGGTAATTTTACACATAGACCTAGGTATATGTATAACATACATACATACATATAGATATATGTATGGATTATATGCATACACTTATTATTGGGCATACTGCTTTCGAACATTAAACTACATCATCTATTAATAGCACTCTGTCTTCAAATATGTGTTAATCTAATGATCATGTGCATAAATGCTTGTGTCGTCCAGTGGAACCTATTGCATGTGGTATTGAAACGGACATGACAATCAACTTCTAGTACCTGTTCGTACGATCCAACACATATAGTTGCTTGCAGCTTGTTGGATCAAAGATATTTAAAGTTAAGCACCATGGCACCGAAACCGAAGGCCAAACCGGCAGCAGCGGGGAGGATCGGCGGGGTGAGGACTCCGAAGCGACGGCCTCGTAGAGTGCCGCCAACCGGTGTGAATGGCATTGGTGAAGAATGTGGTGGGGCGGAAGGCAGAGTGCCAGGGCCACAAATGGGTCCGCCGCCACCAACGCCTGTGAATCGGCCACCTTACCCACCTGGCCCAAGACCTCCCGCCCCTGCGCGACATGAGTTTGAGATTGCCCAAGCTGTGGCAGAAGCGTTGGACATTATGGAGACCCCGATCATGATCAACTTCGAGCCGGATGTGGTTACTGTTAGGGAGGGCCTCATTGTTCTGGTCACCCTTGAGAACTTGACCCCTGAAGAGATGCAACGTCGGCAGTTGGGACGGCGAATTTGTGCCATGTGTTTCAATGCTCCAGACAACCCGCCGCCACCAATAGTGCCGCCAAGGCCGATGCCTGAAAATGGCTATCCTGTCCCTAACAATAATGCCAACAGTGGAGCTACTGAAGGCAGAGTGCCAGAAGGCAGAGTGCCGGAAGGCAGAGTGCCAGATGAGTTCGAAAGTGGAGTTCGTGATCAAATTTTTTTCGTTTGGAATCTCGCCCGGATGCCTGGTTGACTGGGCCAGCTCGTGCCGAAGGTGAGATTCACGCCTCAGACTCAGATGTGATTGAGGAAGGTGTTCGAGATGTTCGTCTTGGTGAGCTTGGAGGGCGGGGTCGTTTGGGTATTGATTATTGGCACATCTCAGAAGAAGACCCGGACTGGAGTCAGCGCGGCTCAGCGGATGATGGAGCCCCCTCAGATGTGGAGGAAGGTGAGGAGTCAGACAATGAGGAGATGGACGCACTGGACGAAGCTCAGTCGTCCCCAGACTCAAATCAGTATGATTCTGCAGGTGACGGCAAAGGATTTCGCATTCGTGGTCGTCGATCGGGGTATATCTCCTCAGAACCACCCTCCGACTGTGAGCCACCTGAAGATTTCTGGTGGCCCTAAGGTTGATGTCTTTCAATGACAGCTTGGAAACTTTACAGAAGGCAGAGTGCCAAGAATGCTTGTGTCTGCCACCTCGGTGGCCTCGGAATCGTCGAGGACGATGGATGGAATGCTGTGTGCGGTACCAGAAAAACGAGAATCGAGTGAGGGTCTGGCAGTGCTGTATTTGATTGCTTGAGCATGAAGTCATGGTCTGCAACAACTATGCCACATGTGAATTTCAACGAGTGATTGCATCAGGTCTGTCTCATCCTTGTGTTGTGATGGATCAATCGACTCACAAGTGTGTCAACTGCTGAATGTGCTGGTTCACAATTACGTTGTTAATTCGAACACCCTTGAGGTTAAGGTGTTACACTTTCTTGCGGATAGGACAGAGTGCCATGCACAGTGCAATTCGGAGTGCCATGTCTGCAGCAGCAGATGACCCGGCTGAAACAAGAAGAAGACTGTTAGTAGACATTCGGCGGCAGTTTGATGCAAACATCGAACTGGAGAAGAGATTCTTGGCCATTTCGAGAGGACAGGATGTTCTGCGCCTTTGCGAAGTTGACCCGTCGCTTCTGGAGTTCCATAATGAAGGTCCTTATGAATTTCTGCCTGAGTGCAACTATGATGTGATTCTTGAAGCCAGTGGGTTTTCCTGGATGATATCAATCTGGCAACAAATGTTATCAGAAACTTTT